TTTTGTTGTTTCTTTAAGCTCTATCCGGCTCCTTTCTCTTCAGAAAACTCACAGTGGTAACATCAAAACTGGCTACAGCTGAAGAAAAATAGGAAGTTTACTTTTAAGAACTCAGGATGATCGCTCGATGGTCTCCAATGACTTTTCTCGCGCAGCACTTGGTAGTGTGCACGAATAATTCTTCTTTCGAAACTTTTTTTTCGATCTTTCGTGATAAAATAAAGCTAAAACATTGTAGCGCCGGTTGTTATTAGATGATTATTCACCTTGGTGTCGGTGAATGGGAAAGGAAATTGCTCTTCGTTAGCTTGGCTAAAATATTCCACTATTAACTTCGAATTAAAACTAAATTATTAATTCAGAATTATACGGACAATAAGTTTTGGCAACTCACATTTTTTACTCTCATGGCAGAAATTCCTAATCAGATCCCTCCTTTCCACTATCTCCAGTCCTCTGGCCAGTTCTGCATAAGTCGCGGCACTGCCTTTAGTTTCCATCCACCACCTGAACATTGCGTAACTTTTCTCGAACAAGCCTCTAATGTCTTCATCAATTTCGTCCAGCTGTGGGTCTTTCAATTTCAAGGCTCTCCCTAGTTGCTTCCAGTTTTTTATCTCATGGACAAGACTGAGGACATCTTCTGGGCCTGGCCTTCCTTCCCTGAAGACCACGTTAGGGGTGGCTGCCGAGAAATATACAATTACAATTCAACTTTTGGCTTCCTGATTTTCTCCCAGCCCAAAGCATACTTTCCCCAATTGGTTTCGTGTTTGTTAATAATTTAAGGTTGAAATTTGTTAGAAGGGTCTAAGGTTCTTTTTTGCTAGATTCAAATATTAAAAATGAACATAAATAAATAGTACGCAGATCGGGATTTTCCAGAACGTACGCGTAGAGCCGAAAAAAAAGTGAAACAACAATAAGCAAAAACAACAACAACATAGCGCACAACAACACATTCAAGAAGGGCACAAATTTCAGTGCAATGTGAAGTAGCATTGTACGTAAGGTAAAAATTAATGCTTTAGACTTCAATGTGTTGCATTTTACAGTTTAATCCATAAGTAAGGCCTCATGATTCCCATACATGTAACAATGCTCACGCTAATGGCTACTACTTACTGCTGAGATTCTCAACATATTCCTCTCCCGATTTGGGACAACAGTACTTTTCTGCCAGCTCTGGCCTTCCGACAGCATCGTGCTGTAAGGCTTGTCCGAGATCTTCGTAAGTTGGTGGGTTAACTTGCACCTCAGTCCATCTTTTCAGCATGCGGTAGCATTGCTCATATTGACCTTCCCTGTCAGCTTCGATCTGGTTGAGATCGGAATCTGCAATACGCAGCTGTCGGCCGAGAACTTTCCACCTGGGACCAACTTCTCGTGCCAAAAGATGCAGTTCATCAGCAGAAGGAGACCCAGACTTGAAAACAACATTCTGCTCAGCAGCTAAGACACAAAACGTCATTACTGTTCGTTTACCCGGGCAGCAGCCAGCAATGTTAAGTAATCATCTTTTAAAGCATTTTTGAATTGAGCGGCGAAAATCATCAGTCAATTCCTTTGGTTTGGTTTTACTATGGTTATACATTGACTAAGTTATCTAATTAACAAATGGAAAACATGTACCGTGTTTCTATTCTGTGATAGATAGTGAGTAGCGTAGCATTGTGCCCTTGTTAACAGAATAACGGCATGTCTTGGCGAGGTGTCGATGTGTCTTTGAAGAGGATTTAGATAAAGTTTTGAACGACTAGTAGGTTTATACTAAAACAATTGGATTATTCGCTCTCGATTTCTATCCGTGATAGAAATCTCGAACTCATAATCTAATTGTTTATTAATAGAATTCTACTAGT